GCAAATTGGTATAAAAATGCTTGCAAGAATGAAATAAATTCAGAACTAGCATAACGTTCAAATACTTACAAATATATATATACCAAATGGAGTAAATTAATACTTGTGAATTCAAGTACAAAACTCCAGAAACTTAAAATCTATATTATTATAAAAACACGAATAATTTATGCTAAATGTTATGTGACAAAAATATCTTTAAACTATTAACAAACTTTATGCCCCTCAATATCCCATAACATTTAAAATATCATACACATGTTAATGTACGAAGACGTAAAAGGTATATTTTGTTACTTAGAGTCCAAGTAAAATTAACATATGTTGGTGTTGGCATTTGCTTCGACCAACTTACAAAGTATTATAATAATCGTAGGAAACAAAATCGAATTTCATTATAAGTAGACTCGTGATAAATGATAGTCCTACTCAACTAAAATAATAGATATCGCTGCGAATCTAACATTCCTTATAATATTTTCTTATCTACATTAAGGTTTAATTTGTGGTATGTGAATATAGCATTGGTTCCTGCGAGAGAACTTCCATTGCACAACATAGAGGCTAAGTTGAATTCAAGAAAATATTGGGTCCAGCCAAATTTATTAATTGTTAACCATAGCATATGGTAAAAGGGTAGCCCGGTGCACTAAGCTCCCGCTATGCGCGGGGCCCGAGGAAAGACCGGATCACAAGGGCTTATCGTACGTAGCCTTAATTACCCTGTATTTCCGCAAGAGGCTGTTTCCATAGCATATAGTAAAGGTACGAAAGAGCATTAAACTATTAGGTGAATAGGATGGTGTTTGGCTAAGCTTATAAGCTGGTCAAACTGGCTTATAAGCACTTTTTGGCTTATCTACGCGTTTGGTAAAATTAAAAATGTTTATAAGTTAAGTGCTTATAAGCCAAAATAAGCCAAAAGCCATAAGAGGGTGTTTGGCTAAACTTATAAGCTGGTCAAACTGGCTTATAAGCACTTTTTGGCTTATCTACGCGTTTGGTAAAATTAAAACTGCTTATAAGCCAAAAATAAGCCAAAAGTCATAAGCTGGTCTCCCCCAACTTATCAAATTTCAGCTTATAAGCACTTTAGGTTTGACCAAAATATTTACTATTCTATCCCTAAAATACTTCTTTTTAGAACAAAACTCTTCGTATACCCAGTTCTTCAGCTGCTTATTATTAATTTCAGCACTTTTATCCAAACACGTAATTGCTTATTTTTTAAATCAGCTTCAGCACTTAAAAGTGCTTTTCAGCACCTAATGCTTATCAGCTACTCTAAATCAGCTAAGCCAAACGAGCTCTAAGTTGGTCTCCCCCAACTTATCAAATTTCAGCTTATAAGCACTTTAGGTTTGACCAAAATATTTACTATTCTATCCCTAAAATACTTCTTTTTAGAACAAAACTCTTCGTATACCCAGTTCTTCAGCTGCTTATTATTAATTTCAGCACTTTTATCCAAACACGTAACTGCTTATTTTTTAAATCAACTTCAACACTTAAAAGTGCTTTTCAGCACCTAATGCTTATCAGCTACTCTAAATCAGCTAAGCCAAACGGGCTCTAGGAGTTGTCAAGAAAGCCAATTCCCCTTTCTTTAAATGGAAAAGAGAAATATAAAAAGATGGGGGAGAGAAAAGAGCCGTTGCGAGTTTATGGAAAAGATGGATTTTGTGAAATATTTTTAGCTGTTGTGAGATGGGCATAAATTTGGTAAGGGTCCCCTATATATCACCATATTTTTGGCCAAAAGATTTGTGACGTTGTATATAAGAAGAAGAAGAAGAAGATATGAATGAGAGATGTAACCAACCATGTGCTTTTTACTTTATACATGAAATTTGTATTGCTTTTAATTTTTAGGTTGCCGAATGTTTCCTTATGATTTTAGTTGGTGAATTATTTGAGTCTCTGTTTATTGTTATTAATTAATCTTTTTCATGCATGTCTTATACTGTATTTTATACCACTATCTAGTATCTACTACCTTTTTCCATGATTTGCCAAGGTTTTTTCTGTAAGGAATGAACAATATACATGAAGTTTCAAATTAAATCCCTTCTGAAAGATGTGTATGTTTTTTCCTTTTTATTATGTAACCAACCATGTGATTATTTACTTTATGCATGAAATTTGTCTTGCTTTTCATTTTTAGATTGCCCAATGTTTCCTTATGATTTTAGTTGGTGAATGATTCGAGTCTCTGTTTATTGTTATTAATTAATCTTTTTCATGCATGTCTTATACTACTATATTTTATACTACTATCTATTATCTTTTTTCATGAATTGCCAAGGTTTTTTGTATAAGAAATCGAACAATATACATGAAGCTTCAAAAGTTGTGACCTAATCGAACAATATACATAGAATCCAGTGCATAAGGTTAGGTAGTGGCGAAGCGAAAAATTTTCTCAAGGGTGTTTAAACTTGAAAGAAGTAAAAATAAAATTATCGATAAAGGATATTCGATATATGTTGTGTACATTTAAAACCTGATATTTTACCTATATACACAGTGTAATTTTGCGATAAAGGGTGGTCAATTTGACCACCCTTACCAAAGTATAGCTTCATCCCAAAGGCTAGGGGCGGATCTAGGGTTAGGATAACAGGTTCATCAGAACCTAATACTTTCAAAGTGGAAGAAAAATTCATGTGTAAAAATTCATTAAAATTACAAGAGATAGTAGATATGAACCTATAACTTTAAAAATTTAATTAGTATTAAACTAAAATCTTTAAAAATTGAACCAATTGAATTTAAAACCTGAATTCGCCTTCATACATGACCTAAGCCATGAAGGATAATTTCCAACAGACACGTCTTTGTAAGCATAAGCACGAAAATACGTACAATAGACTAAGGAAACTCTCCTGAAATTTCCTAGTTTTTCACTTTACATTCAATTTAAGAAGAAAGGAGATCAAATACTCCCAAATCCCAATCAAACAAAGATAAATAGGTAATGAACTCAACTCATTACTTGTAAAACAACATAACATAAAGAAACGAAAGTTCAAAAATAATTCTGATTAAGTTAAAATGTGATTATAGGACCTACAACCCAGTGAAGTACGCAGGAATTTTTGTAAGCAGTATTAATATTTTAAAAAGTGAATATATAAATTACTATAACGACAACCGGTGTCATTTTTACGACCCCTTTCCTCCCCTTCTTCATTTTCGTCTTCTTCCCAACAGACAGCAATTCTAGCAATCATGTTTGAATCGAAATAAATGTTGCAGGAAATTTAATTCCAGAGCATCTTTTTATTTAATCAATTTAAATTATATACTTAAAAAAAATTATTCATACTATTAACTAGCTTTAATTCATACTGTAGCTAGCTTACCATTTTTTCTAAGTTATCAATAAATATATTTATCTATAGTTGTCGTTTTTAAGTGACAGAAGATTGTGTAAATATCTTTAAAATATAACTTAAACTTAATTCAATTAGCAATTTTCTGTCATTTATGGCAGTTCATAAAATTCATAATCACCAGATCTTATCTCTTAATTATAGACACTCTTGAATCGATACGCGAGTGTTAAACGTGCATGTACATTAATTTTTCACTAAAACTATTCGAACCAAATGAGATTTGATTTACATATTTAAATGATTCCAAATTAATTTGATTTTCTAACGAATAGAGAGTAATAATAGTCGAAAGTGACAAATGAATCACCACATGTTGATATCGATAACGGGTAATATTACTTTGAATTGAAACATTAAAATACTTTGCTTTACGAAAGTTTTAAGATTTGTAAACTTTACCTTAAACAGGGTTGGATATGTATGAGTATTTAGAGTAAACATTCATTATCTCATTAATGTATATTTCCACTTTGGTTTACGACACTCCACGTTAAATTTTTTAGCATGTTTGGCAAAACTTCAAAAAATAAGCTTATTTTGAGAAGTGTTTTTTCTTAAAAATGCTTTTCTCAAAAGTACTTTTAGTTAGAAATAATTTGTGTTTGGATAATTAATTTGAAAAGCACTTTCGAGCAGCAATTAATGTTTGACCAAACTTTTAAAATCTATTTCTAAGTATATTTTTCTCTAAAAGTATTTTTCAAAAAAGTGCATTTGAAGAGAAACTAGTTTTTTCTTCTTCTCCAAAAAATGCTTTTGCTTTTCCTCAAAAGCACTTCTTTTTTTGAAAAAAAAGTGCTTCTAGGATTGGAGAAACTTGGCTAAACATGCTATTCAACTTTATGGGTTCTGGATATTGGAAAAGGACTTCAAGTACTAACAATTGGATTCAAAATTTAATATTTGTACATTTTTAATGAATTTCTTAACACAATACACTATTTAAGTAAAAACTATTGGGTTCGACCGAACCCGTACCAGACTTCTAGCTCCGACCCGGGTATAATGATAGATATAACATCATGCACCCATGATAGAAAAAGAAAAGGTCTTCGAGAGACCAGGTGAAATTCAAAAATAGCCAGATTTACAAGTGGTAATTGAAAAATAGCTACAGTTTTAAAAAGTATTCGAAATTTAGCCACTTTTGATGTAAAGATAAATTTGAACAAAAATACTGTTCAAACTCCGGAAAATATTATGCTGGAGTTCGAATTTTTTACATGTGAACTTCCAGTATAACATGCTGGAATAATGTGCTAAAGTTCCAACAAAATATACTATACAGGTGCTCCAATCTCCAGTATATTATGCTGGAATTTTTTGTGTGCTGGAGTTCATAAACAGGTGCTCCAATCTCCAGTATATTACGTTGGAACTTTTCGTGTTACAGCAAAATAGTGGCTATTTTTCAATGACTTTGCAAACGCTGACTATCAATCCGAAAACTGGTCAGCCCGTGCTATTTTAACATAGAGAGGGGGTTGCAATTTTACTAGACGTGAAATTAAGCAACCACATGTTACGTTAAAGCTACCTTTTTTGGCCCCTAGATCCCAACCTTAAATAAACTACCGTTTTAGACGTTTCTCTTTCCGTAATTCTCTCTATTATCACAATTCTTCTTTCCTTAATCAAAACTAACTTCCAAAAGCCTTTAAAAAGCAAATAATAACAATAGATAAACGTTCAAATATCTTTTCTTTATTTACTATTTTCTTTCTTAAAAGAAAATCAAACGTCCTGAAGTGTTTACAACATCTTTAGGGTTGTTCTAATCATCAAGAAAAACCACCCCTTGATTTCCATTTTTATCCTTTTGTTTGATCATATATTATAAGGGGTTGGTTTGTTATTGATGGTTAGATCTTTTTTTATGCTTTTTTAAAATCTTGTTTAATATATTCATATATATATATATCTGGTTGATTATTTGTTTGTTTAATTTATCAACATGAGTGATGAAAAGAAGTACATTATGGTTGAGGAGTTAAAGAAACATAACAAGGAAGATGATTTGTGGATTTCAATTCAAGGGAAAGTTTATAATGTAACAGATTGGGTGAAAGAACATCCTGGTGGTGATATTCCTATTCGTAGTTTGGCTGGACAAGAAGCAACTGATGCATTCATTGCTTTTCATCCAGGTATATGCCGTTCTGTGAGTTTAATTGAACCTATTACTTTCAACTCGAATTATATATACATAAATATACCATTTTATACCAGTGGCGGAGCCATAAATGATGAATGGATTCAATTGAATTCCCTTCGTTGAAAATTATACTGTGCAATTAATAGGGCAACAACAATAACAACCTAGTGTAATTCCACAAGTGGAGTCTGGAGACAATTAATAGGGCAAAAACAATTTTTTGTGTATACATATAAACTTTTGAATCCTCTTGACGTAAGGGAATTTTTCATATTAGTGGCAAAAGATAGTTCAAAAGTTGTTTTAGGGCGTAGGTTTGAATTTCTTGAATTCCCTTATTGAATTTCTAGCTCTGCCGCTGTCTTGAGGAAAATCTACACAGTATGGCTGAACCCAAAATAATAACCGTCAAATGTATATTTTTGTATATTAAAGTATAATATACCGGGGCGAAGCTATGTGTGGCCAAGGGTGGGCAAATATTACTTGATATGATTAAACGAATAGACTTTGAACACCCTTGTATACTGGCAAAGGGTGTTTAAAATTTGAACACCCTTTTGAATTTCCTGGCTTCACCACTGATAATATACATATTTTACACATAACCAATATATATTTTTATATATTTGACTAGCGGCTGTAATTATTTTAGACTAACCAGCCAAATGTGTTAAAAGCCCATGTTTTGAACCACCGACTCTAGATTTTGAATTCGTCTCTACAGGTACTGCTTGGAAATATCTTGACAAATTCTTTACTGGATATTATCTTCAAGATTACCAAGTTTCAGAGGTGTCTAAAGATTACAGGAATCTCTGTACTGAATTTGCAAAAGCTGGAATGTTTGAAAAGAAAGGACATGGGGTGATTTATTCCTTATGTTTTGTGACATTGTTGCTTTCAATGAGTTTCTCTGGTGTTCTTTTGAGTAACAATTTCTGGATTCACATGTTTTCTGGTGCACTATTGGGACTTTCTTGGATGCAAATCTCTTACTTAGGTCATGATTCTGGGCATTACTTAATCATGACAACTCGCGGATTCAACAAATTAGCACAGATTCTTACTGGCAATTGTCTCACTGGAATTAGCATTGCTTGGTGGAAATGGACTCATAACGCGCACCATGTCGCGTGCAATAGTCTTGATCATGACCCTGATCTTCAACACTTGCCAGTTTTCGCTGTCTCTTCAACGTTTTTCAAATCGTTGAATTCTTACTTTTATGGAAGAGAACTCACATTTGATTCCGCGGCTAAATTTTTCGTGAGTTATCAACATTTTACATACTATCCTATCATGTGTGTGGCAAGAGTGAATCTATTTGTCCAAACATTATTGCTATTATTCTCAAAGAGGAAAGTGCCAGATAGAGGTTTAAACATATTGGGAATTCTTGTTTTTTGGACTTGGTTTCCTCTTCTTGTTAGCACATTGCCTAATTGGACAGAAAGGGTGTTATTTGTGCTAATAAGTTTCTGTGTAACATCACTACAACACATTCAATTTACACTTAACCATTTTGCTGCTGATGTTTATGTTGGACAACCAGAAGGGAATGATTGGTTTGAGAAACAAACAAGTGGAACTATCGATATCGCGTGTTCTTCTTGGATGGATTGGTTCTATGGAGGATTGCAGTTTCAACTTGAACATCATTTGTTTCCAAGATTGCCTAGATGCCATTTAAGGAAAGTGTCTCCAATTGTTCAAGATTTATGCAAAAAACATAATTTGCCATATAGGAGTTTGTCATTTTATGAGGCTAATGTTTGGACAATAAGGACTCTTAAAACAGCAGCAATGCAAGCTAGAGGTCTGCTTTGGGAAGCTGTTAATACTCATGGCTAAATTCTGGATTTGGAGATTGTTTGTAGTAATAAGTACTGTGTTATTAAGTAATGTGTCTATTTTAATTTATGTTGTTGGACTGAAACAGGGAGAAGATGATTGTTGTTTCTTTGTACTTTGTATTTTTAGCTATGTTGATATGGGATTTTGTTTTAAGCACTCTTTAGATCTGCTTCAGCATATATGCAAAATGGATTGGTATAGTTTATCTTGGTACAATAATATAGATAGTCGACAAGAAAGGGTTGCTCTGATTGTCAACACCTTCCACCTACAACCCCAAAGTATGGGTTAGAGTAAGGGTTGCATGTGGGCCGGTCCTAAGTGGGCCGATCCTGATCCCGGGCTAGTCCCAATTTAAACGGGCTTCGCGGTCCCGATCTTGGTGGTCCTTTTTGTAGGAACCTGCCCGGGACCGTGTCCCACGAACTAATGGTCTCGGGCTAAGTGGGCCGGTCCCGGGCCTAAGTGGGCCTAAGTGGTCCCAACAGATATATATATATTTTAAATTTTATAGAAGTTAGAGAAAAAAAGATGGTAATAAAAATATTTAAGGCAATTCCTTGTAAATTATATTATAGAATTGTGACCTAAATTTTTTAATTCAAATTTATGTGTTATAATTTTATTATAGCATTAACAAAATATGGCAATATCTTTCTTAGTCTTCCTCCCCCATATGAAATGAGCACAACAAGGTGCTAATACACCATTGAGAAGAAAAAGAAACTAATCAAGATGTGCCAAAATACAAGTTACATAATACATACTAATTTTTGTTCATACAAGTTACATTGTATCTCTTACAAATTTCATAAATCCATTAAGGTCCGGAGGAATTTTTGTTGGTGGCGGCGGAAAAGAAGCTTGGTCTTTACCGCTTCCGGGCGAAGCAGAATCCTCCGCAAGTTCAGCTAGCATTTCTTCGTAAGCTTCGTCTACCTCTGGTTGTGATTCAGCAAGTCCAAAATTTCTTCTTTCCGAACGGATCCAATGTCTGAAAAGTACAAGCTCTCCCCCATAGACGCTCTATAATCACCGAGTTGAAGTCTTGCTTGACTGAAAGCGCTCTCCGATGCCACTATTGAATAGTTAAAATATCTCGGGCCATCCTTGAAAGAACCGGAAAGTGACTTTCTTTGTCTTTCCACCATTCCAAAATCACTTAGTTGTGAAAAATCACTAGTAGTAGAACCTTGAGAACCCCTGAACCCCGCCCAAGCACTAAGTGCTCTTACTCCCGCAGTTCTTTTAGATGATTGAGAATCAGAAGAAAAATGAGTTGGAACATTTGGTCTAGCCTGATCTAATGCAACTTGATAAGCATTATAAATAGTTTGAGCATTTATTTTAATTGAGGCTATTGCTTCCGGAAGTTTAGACAACTCCTCTTCTTCAAGTGCTAAACCATTATAAACAGTTTCATACCAAAATTGAGGACCTCCTAATTTTATAGTAGGATTTAACAAGGGAGCAACACCATAAATAGGGGAAATAAGGAAAACATATTTTTTAAACCTTTTTCTCATAGAATCAATAGCAAGTTTATAAATTTCCCCACCCTCTGAAAAATGAGCAAACAAATTTGTAAGTTCCGCAATATAAACTAAACAGTTAGAAATAGTAGGATAATATTGCCCAGAAAATTCATTTGTAGCAATATGAAATTTTTCTAAAAAATTCACAGGCATTTTAACATTAGCCCAATCCGCATTTGTAAGGTGCTCATCATCACACTTACATGAGCATTAAATGTTGACGTTTATGGGGTTTTTATATTCATATGCAACAACTAAGCTTTCATACATGTAATTCCATCTAGTTGGACAAGGTTTAGTAACCTTTCTTTCTCTTAGGCCAAATTCATCGCATCTTTTAAAATATTCTCCGAGTCTACTTCTACGGTTTGAATAAAAAAGCAGTTAAGAGCCATTTTAATCTTTTCAATTTCGATATTTAAAATTCTCATACCATCACCCACAATTAAATGGTAAATATGACAAATACATCTAACATGACAATGTTACTAAATGCAGGACTTCGTGTAGTGGTAAGCAAGGCTACATCATTTGTGTTACTAATAGCATTATCCATTGAAACTGACATGATTTTATCACTAATGCAAAAATATCTATAACTATGCTAGCAATGAATTGCCCTGTGTGACATGAATTAATTATTCTATTAGAAATGATGCGCTTTTGCATTATACAATCCTCATCAATCCAATGACTGGTAACATTACGGTAATCACAATCATTACCACTTCTACCAATATCATTTGTAATAGCAACACGGCAATTTATATGAGTAAATAAATAGCGAAAATATTGTTCATATTCATGTTTATATTTATAAATATCGCTCTTTACGGTTGTGCGAGGAAAACCTTTATAAGTAGGATTAAAAAAAATTCTAATATAATGCACAAAGTGAGGGTCAGAAGAAAAACTATAGGGTAAGCACATAACAGTAACCATTTTTGCCAATTTTTCCCGATCTTTTTTGGATCATAATATAAAATACCACGGGTAACAGTGTTAATTCCCGGTTGAAATTGATTTGATCCGGTACTAGGGTCAGCCTGACTAGGAGTAGGTAAACTAGTCCCCTCGGCCAAGGCTTTCACACGAAGATATTTGACTTTATCTTGAGGGTGTATCAATATGTGTCTAGCCAAAATTTCCGTCCCCACCCTCCCCCCCGACCTCCAAAATATTAAAAGCTAACTCCTTGCCACAAGTTTTACACTTAGCCTTATTTTGTAGAATTAGTTGAGTAAAAAATGGCCAACGTAGATGTTTCTGTCCGCTTGGTACGTTGTCTAGAAAAATAGGGTAGTAACAAGAGGGTCAGATGGGGCATCATTTGGATTATCATTAGTTTGGTTAACTTCAGGAGCAGGACTAGTGGGTGTATCGTTATCTGGTTGCGTTTCATCAAAATCTATTTCCTCCTCATCATTTTCATCAATAGTTGGACTAAATTAAAGAGCATTCATTAATATATGGTCTAATTGTTCACCAGCTCCAAAATTATAGCAAAATTGACTCTTAGTAAATTGTAATAAACTATTATCGCTATCAAGAGTAGCATGTGTAGGACGGGTATGGGGTTTGGGTCGGGGAGCCGGGGGAAGTGGAAGAGGAACAGATTGGCCACTAGATTCGTCACTCTTGGATTTTCCCTTATTGTTACCAAATTTTTTTTAAGGAAGTCATCTTAATTAATCAAATAGTAGAAAATAAATAAAGCAAACAAAACTATAATTTTAAAAATTAAGAGTTGGAACGAGTTTACTGAATTGACGAACAACTTGTTGAAAATTGATTATTGTTGAAGACTTAAAGACTTCAATTCACCAACTTCACAAATTGTAACAATAAAGTAAGCAATAGTAGCAATTATACAAGAAAATTAGAGAGAGATTGATGATTTTGGGAGAAAAATAAAAGAAAGAGGGAGGTATTTATATTTAAAAATAGGGAAAAGTGTAATTATAAAAAGTTTGAGGTTAAAACAAAGTTGGGGGGGGGGGGGGTAGGGAGGAGGTTAAATGGATATTTTGCAAATAGCCGTTTGGCAGACCAAACGGCTAGTTTTTAAAATGCCCAAACGAGCAATTTTTTTTAAATTTCTGACCGTTGGGACCGTTTAGGTCCGCCAAGGACCGGTCCGGTCCCGGTCTTGCGGTCTTTTTGTGAAGGACCGGCCCAGAAGACCGGCCCACCTCCACGGTCCCGATTCTAACCGGTTAAGGACCGTTTAGGCCCAGAAACCCACATTGTCCGTGGTCTCGGGCCGGTCCCGACCCTGGACTGGCCCATATGCCGCTCTTAGGTTAAAGTCACCAAAAGAGCAAAAAAATTAAAAAAAAAATATAATATGCATCGTCTCCATCTCCTCTAGGATTTGTTTTATCTTTTCTTGTTCCCATCTCATAAATTGCTCGGATTATATTTCTTTGATAATATAAGGGAACGTTTCTCCATGCAAGTAGTATTAATTGTATTCTCGTTCTTTCATATTCTTACATTTTTGTTACATTTTTTTTTTTGCTTTGTTATTTTATTATATTATTGTTGCTAGGCACTTTTTCCATAGCTTCTACACTATCTTATTTTTTAACACTGCTGTGACTTTGCTTTTCTTGAGTCGAGGGCCTATCGGAAACAACTTCTCTACTTTCACAAGGTATGGGTAAGATCTGCGTGCATACTAACTACCCTCTCCGATCCCACTTGTGGAATTACACTAAGAGCCTCTTTGGAAAGCCACATTGGAAATGGATTTGGGTGTAATTAGGTGTAATTATACAGTTTGGCATGTTTGTTTGGCCAAGTAATTACTTGGCCTGCATGGAATTGGTGGTAATTACACTGTATAATTACAAGATTGCCTTTTAATTTCTTTACTTTTTATTTTAATTTTACTTTATTTTTTTATAACTTTTTATTTCTATTATTAATTTTTTAATTTTATTTTTATTTTTATTTGTTTTTGAAATTTGAAAATGTATTTTTCTTTGTACGTCATATATCTTTCATTTCTCTATCTTTACTTCTTGTGATTCCATGTAATTACTTACATTTTTTCTATTTATTTATTTATTACTTTATTTTTTGAAATTACACCTCCTAATATTAGAAATAATGAGTCACTAACAAATTTGGCATATAATGAGTGATGCAATTAAAGTGAAATTTCGTTGTTGAGTGTGGTTATAAACTTATCATGTTTCCTAATCTTAAGTTGTAGTGGAACTTACCATTATTATGTTGGAATTTGACATATGTCAAACTATTTTTTTTTTTTAAAATTATGTTATATTCATGGTTCCAATTTACTTGTTTTAGTAGTATCGGCTCACATTGCATGTTATTTATTTTTGAGTTAGCATTGATAGATTAGTGTTGTCAAACATTTGAATAATGCTATGACATTATATTTATAAATATTAATTTATTTTATCAAACAAGAATTCCACGATGTTCTTACAAAATATATATAAATTACTTTTATAATATTAGTTATAAATAAATGATTACTAATTAATGTATATATGCACGAAAAAAATATACATCTTAAATACCCAATACAATATCATTATATTTATAAAAATTTATAAGCATATATTTATTATATTAACTTTTAAGTTTTGATAAT